GCACTCCTAAATAATTGTTTTTTTAACTTTATTTCTTTATCCACACAGTTTCTACACCCAGTATGGGGATCAAACTCACAACCCCACAGATCAAGAGTCTTCTGACTGAGCCAGCCTAGTGCCCATAAATGATTTTTTTTTTTTAAATTTTGGAGGTCAGTCCTTGACTTGTTATATACGTTACAATTTCAGCCCATTGCTTGTCTTTATTTACATTTATGACACCTGTTCTTATACAAAACTTTGAAATGTGTACTATGATCAAATTTATAAATTTCTTCCTGCCACCTCTGCCTTCTGTGGCTTAAGACAGCATTGCCAGAGTGTTAAGCCTTACTTTTCTGTGTCTCTCAGAATAACATCTTGGGGGGTTTAATCACACAGCTTTGTTTTCACATAGAGGAGTTGATCCCCCCATCCTACAAGCTGACCTTCCCAGAGCAGGCCCCTCCATAAGGCGTCTGCTGTATTCCCCAGGGCAGCTGCATCTGGTGGAGGCTGGTTCTGAGAGGTCCAGCCAACATCGCACGGCCCATTGGACTCCCTGACACTCCTTTGAAGGGGCAGAGAAGGCTGCATTACTGTAGGCCTTGGTGACCACAGGCCTGAGCAAGCCAGTCCTCCCCTTAAACCAGGCAGAGGCTCTAGATTGAAAAAAGAATCCAGAAAGGAAAAGAGAAGGCCCACAACTCTCTCTAGTCTTAGGCGGAAGAAGGAGCTTCTTGGGTATAGATGATGGTGACATTTTCCCCAGTATCATCCCTGTAAGGAAAATGAGACCAAGAAAAGCTAAATGTGTAGATTTAATTTTACATTACGACGCCAACTCCCAAGTTCTGGTTAGAATCCATCTTAGTACGATGGAAGGGAAGCTTTGGTGAGTTTCTTAAAACTCACCGGACGCTGCTTGTACCATTCGTCTTGCGAAGGAAGTGCTCTTATCCCTGTTTTACAGATGAAAACACTGAGGCTCCAGAGAGATAAGGTCATGTAATCAAGTCTCACAGAAGGTAAATAAGTAGAAGACCCAGAGCTGAGCCTCAGGCTTCATGCCTTCCTCCTATTCCACTCTTCTTTCCCAGGATTTGCAAAAGCCACACAAAGCTACCCACATGAGAAAAGCACATTCTTTTTTCTCCCCCCTCTCTACCAGCTCACAAGAGTGCTACTAGGGAGTTGTCTCCACCAGGTGGATGTTTTCATTTTTGCTCATTTGAAATGGAAAATAAGGCACACATCATTTGGAAATCACTTAACTTTTAAGGGACACCTTGAAGGTTTCCTCTAGCGGAATTCGTTAACTTAAAGTCTCTGTATTTTACTAATTGAAAATTTCACGGTGGAACAAGCTCGTGATTTCTGTTTATCTCCAGCTCCCATGCCTCTCAAAGCACCGCACGGTCTTCATCTAAGAATCATTTTCAGCAAAGTTGTTTTTAGTACCTGCTATCTGTTTGTGTTAGTGGGAATGTTTGCCATTTCTTCCAAGAGAGTTAACTATAAATTATACGGCAGAGAACTTCTAAGTAAATATGTTCATGCCTCAGCACTTTAATGTGTTAATTAGCTATTAAAGGTGTCAGTAAATTAGACCTGTCAAAAATAATGGCCTCCTTGACTGGGTTTTACTACCACTTCACTTACTTACAAGTTTTGCCCTCTGGAACTGTTAATAAGCAAAGCTGTAGAGGTTAGCCTTGCAAAAGATAAACTCTTGAGTTTGTTGGAACTCACCTGAGGCCTGCGTCTGTGGGTGTTTTAAGGACTGGTAGCCCCAAATTTACACAATGCAGGCTTACCAACACCTGGATTCCATCTACCGCCAGCAGCCAGGGTGGTCTTTATCCTGCGGAGAGTCCGGTCCCTACTCTTTGTTCCCTCTAGCCAATGATTGTATGGTCAGGCGCCTTCCTTTGTTCATAGAGCAAATTAGCAGTTTCCCCGCTGCTGTTGGAGGCTGGAAATAGGTACCTTTTTCTCCAGGTCAGGGTTCTGGTGGTTACTGAGCAAGGACCCAAGCTCATCAGGGACAGTATTTCTCCTCTCCTGCTTGTGCCAGGAGACCAGTCCTGCTGCAGACCTGAGGGCTGAGACAGGAGAACAGGAAGAGAACCTCAGAAAGAAGTATTAGCAGTGAATGGTTGAATATAGTTTAAAGACTCGTGGTGTTTTCTATGAAGTCAGATGAAGGATAGAACGCACCAGCCTGAGATTCTTGCCCCCATCTACATCTGGGAAAACTCATCCTGTGTTCTAAATGATCAGATTGTAGGATTTCGCCTTTTGCCAGGCTCCTGCTTCTGCTCATCGAGCCCATATGATTGCGAAAGTAAATGAAGTTTTTTAAGATAATATTTATGCATATATTATAGAGGCTACCTCTCATACAGACTGTTTTCTCTGCTTTGTGATTGCCACGAGTCAGCTAACATACCTCTAAACCAGAGATTGCAATAAATCTCCGAAAAAAATGAAACCACACTGTCCCAGGAGCTCTGGTGGTAAATGATGAGCCAGTTGTGGTTATCCTGATAGATGTTCTCCAGTCTTATGAGGGGCAAAGGGCCTTCCTCTCCATCTGTGCTTCTGCCTGCCTCTCTTCTCCCCGACCACCTCCACCCCCAGGTCTGGCTGGGGGACTAAGGGTGGAAATTTAAAAAAAACAAAAACAAAACCTGGCTCAGTCTTATGCAGCAGAGACCCAGATAGCCTTGCAGCATTATAATTGCTACCAGAATAAGCGTCCTTTGTCCTGTTGTGCTAATAATAAATTTGTTTTGCTGTTTTTGATAACCTCACTACCAGCAGAACTATTTTGTCTGTGGAAGTAGTTCACATTATAAAATAGAACATTGTCACTGCTGTCTACCTTCATGGAGGCCTAAATGTGTTGCAATTAAACCGAGCACTTTCAGAGTACTCTTCAAAATAGATCCTAGCAATGGAATTGAGGCTTAAAATTTCATTTCAAAGCAACGTGGGCTGGAAGTGACCTGTCAGCCTCATTTCTTGAATTTATAATTACCATAGTATTAGAATTACTTATCGTAGGCTTTCCCTGGATACTACCAATAAATGACTTGCTGTATTTATGAATCTTTTCAAATTAGAAAACTTAATTCCATATGTAAGCCTGATGTACACATATGTTCATTTACTCAACAAACATTTACTTACAGCTGGTATATGCCATCGCTATTTCAGGTTGAAATATGGCCCTGTTTCAGGCTGAAATGAAAATGACCTTATGTGCTTAAAATGTATGGGTTTAAATTCTGTTAATTTAAAATTTGTTAGTGTCTGGACAAAAGCCATGTCGAAGTTGATCCCCACCTTGGCTCTGCAAGTAAGAATAGGTGGTTAAGAAAATGGGTGATGCCAGGAAATGGTCAGACAACCCAATAGAATGAGGTTTTGGGGGGCTTGGAAAGCATCCATTTATATGTATGTAGTTAATTTCATAATGACAGAGTATTCTTTTAGTAAACAACTCTGCTTTTTAAAAACTTAAAAAAAAACTTTATTATGTTATGTTATTCACCATACAGTACATCATTGATTTTTGATGTCACGTTCCGTGATTCATTATTTGCGTATAACACCCGGTGCTCCATGCAACCCATGCCCTTCTTCATACCCATCACTGGGCCAACCTATCCCACCTCTCTGAAACCCTTAGTCTGTTTCCCAGAGCCCATAGTCTCTCATGGCTCATCTCCCCCTCTTGATTCCCCCCCCTTCATTTTTCCCTTCCTTCTCCTAATGTCCTCCATGCTGTTCCTTATGTTGCACAAGTAAGTGAAACCATATAATTGTCTTTCTCTGCTTGACTTACTTCACTCAGCAGAATCTCCTCTAGTCCCATCCATGCCGATGCAAATGGTGGACATTCATCCTTTCTGATGGCTGAGTAATATTCCATTGTCTACATGAACCACATCTTCTTTATCCATTCGTCTGTTGAAGGGCATCTCAGCTCTTTCTACAGTTTGGCTATTGTGGACATTGCTGCAGTGAACATTGGGGTGAATGTGCCCCTTCTTTTTTTTTTTTTTTAAAGATTTTATTTATTTATTTGACAGAGATCACAAGTAGGCAGAGAGGCAGTCAGAGAGAGGAGGAAGCAGGCTCCCTGCTGAGCAGAGAGCCCGATGCGGGGCTCGATCCCAGGACCCTGGGATCATGACCTGAGCCGAAGGCAGAGGCCTTAACCCACCGAGCCACCCAGGCACCCCGCATGTGGCCCTTCTTTTCACTACATCTGTATATTGGGGTAAATACCCAGTAGTGCAATTGCTGGGTCATAGGGTAGCTTTATTTTTAACTTTTGAGGAAACTCCACACTGTTGTCCAAAGTGGCTGCACCAGCTTGCTTTCCCACCAACAGTGTAAGAGAACAATCCTGCTTTTCTAAACCCGGTTTTCCTCTGTGTGCTCTGAAAATAATAAAATGTCATTAAAATACTTCTTGATTTAGACTCATCATGGTTTCTGATGGGATTCCAGTTGGCCTCATTTATGAGGTTCCACTAATATCAGAATGCCATGCTGCCCAATTATAAATTTTTATAATCTCAAAACCATGAAAACATCCATCTCAAAGGTCAAATGTGCAAAGGAGGAGAAGGGTTGAGACAGTGGCAGACGATGTTTCTTACGGAGAAGGATTTTGTAGTCAGAACAGGGTGGAATCTGTTTTAGTCTCTTACTGACTCATCTCTGGCGTATCCTATAACCTCTGGTGGCTCCCTGTCCTCACCTGTGAATGTGGGAATACCAGTGCTCAAGGAGTCTATCCTGATGACTCTGCACACCCTGATCCTAGAAGTGTGATTTCCTGGCTTGCTTGTCTTATGATGATGGTTTTTGTTTGTTTGTTTGTTTTTGTTTTTGTTTTCCAGAAAACAGAGCAATCACTCAGAAGGACAGTGCAAAATGGGGATTTCTCCCTGGACAGCCACATGTTTTCTGTTAATGGAGATGACCTATTCTAATTGCAGGTTATATCCAGGCATGTAGAGGACTTATGATTGCTGCTGTCAGCCTGGGCTTTTTTGGTTCCATATTTGCCCTGTTTGGAATGAAGTGTACCAAAGTCGGAGGCTCAGATAAAGCCAAAGCTAAGATTGCTTGTTTGGCTGGGATTGTATTCATACTGTCAGGTAAATACTTTCTTTCTCCCAAACAAGGTACTTCACGATGTTAATGAGAGGACACTAACCACGATTCTTTCCTTCTGATACCTTGTAGGGTTGTGCTCAATGACTGGTTGTTCCCTGTATGCAAACAAAATCACAACGGAATTCTTTGATCCTCTCTATGTTGAGCAGAAGTAAGTACTCTTCTCAGTCTGTCTGTTTCTAGCTTACAGCAAATGTACGCAGATTAATCTTCTAAATTAAGTTACATAAATTCCTTACGTGGTGCATGAGAGTGAGACAGGCTCATCAGCAGTGTTCGATGACATCATTTCAAGAGTAAACAGGTTCTGTGCTGCATCGGCAAAAGATGCATCTAATCACGGCGTGGGCGTCACGTGGTGTCTTGTCTCTAAAAAGCTCAAGGCATAGGATTTAAAATTCTAAACGTCATCCACTGGACATCATTCATTTGGGGTCAAGTAGAGGGAAAGTGGAAGAGATGTGGGGGCAGGGGAGGAAGAATGATGTTGTGTGATCACAGGAAATGAAGAGCCGGCTTTGACCGATAGCCATCCAGACTGCCAGCTGCCAGCTGCTGGTATCTGGGCCAGCGGCCATCACGGTTTCGGATGCTGATCTGGAAACCGCGACCATGCTCCTGAAGATTAGGGGTCTGTGAAGGAAGTATCACTTTTTTCATTTTTACTTAGCCTTTTAAACTAGCTCCTTGATGAGCTGCACTCAATCAACCTTTATTTTAAAAAATGTACATGATGCAGGGTTTAAAAAAAAAATGCTCCCGCAGTGGTGCAGACACCACCCAGTTGTGACCAGTCTGGGTTGCAGGTGAATGGTTCGGCATTTACAGATGAGTTTGTTGGAGGGGGTTGGTTTTTAACTATGGGCTATTGGTTTTTATAGTTTCCCTAGGCTTATTTCTTTGCCTTGGGAAAACCCCAGGGATACCAAATTAGAAACAATGATATATGCAGTATTTTGTCTCTCACAAGAATATGACCACATAGCCCTGTAGAAAGCCACATCTGTACGCATGTGGATAATTAGCAGCTGGGCTGGCGATGCTTTCAGTCTTCAGGTCAAGTGTTACTGAATTTTCCAAAAAAGTTACTAAAATTGCTGGCTAGGTGTGCATTCCTTTTTTCTGGTGGGTTTCAGAATCTTCGGGGAATTGATTTGTTAGTTCTGTCTTTAGTGTCTGTCTTTTATTCATAAATAAGAGGTGCTTAGATAATGAAATAGAATGAAAATAGTCGCTACTACGTGTTGAGCCCCTACCATGCACCAAGCAGAGCATTGCAAATATTCTTTTATTTTATTCTTGCAACAATCTTATAAAGTAGGTTCTCTTGGTACGACCTTTTTGAAAATGGATGTGTGCAGTTGATGTGTACAAGGGAACCTGGACTAAACCAGTACTGTCTGATTGGGCTAGGAGTCAGACCACGCATGCTTGCTCTAAGACGCGTGGTTTATAATACTTGATTTCATAATTTTGGTGACCGTATCCTATACATATTTTTTTCATCATGGGAGTTTCTTTTGTATGATTTTAATAACTATTTTAAATTTTATTAAATGGGAAACAAAATGACTGTTTTGGACCCCAGTATAATTTTTACTCTTGTGCCTATGTTGGAAAAATGGGTTCTGATTTATAAATTTTCTCCTAATGTTTGATAATGAGATTTGTACAGGTGTGCATGACGCCAGACATTGAGATGAAAACTGAGACCATGCTCCTGGAGATAGGAAGCATGTTAATGATATTTAAATGAAATACAATTTTCCTCGAATGATACATTTTTATTTCAGGCTTTGGTATCCTAAATGTATAACAAAACAGTATTTCTCATGACTTACTGTATTAAAGACATTGCTCACATTTCTGGATTAACTCTTCTAATTGCTGTCTTTGTTTTCCTGGTAATAATTAAGAAAGTCTTTTTCAGAATCTTAAAAATCATTTTTGTCCTTTCTCAGAAGGTCAAGGCTAATTCATATATACCCTGTAACTTAAACCTGTTCTTTGTGTGATTTTTTTTTCCAGTACTTGCTATATACTCAGTCACCTAATTCAGTTTTGTGCCATCAGAATTTCTGATTTTTTTTTAGATTTTGGCTAAACTCAGTTCAGTGATTATGGACTCTGAGGTGTTTTCTTCATTTCCACATTCTTGGTGCAACATTGAACTATCCCATTCCCTGTAATAATCTGTCGGCATTCCTCTCTCTACCTGGGCCTGCTCCGTCTACATTCTCACCCATAAAATCAGGATAATAATGGCACTCTATTCGTAGAGTTACTGTGGGAATTTGGAGAGTGTGTATATATATATGCTTAGAACTGATTAGAATACAGGAAACCCCGTGTACCCTATTACTGTATTGCGTTAGCTATTATTAAGATAACTTTTAAAATTGTGTGTAGTATTTAAGATGTGGCTTATCTTTATAGATGCTTTGATTAGCTCTCTTCTGAAGTGACTTAAAAATATAACATCTGCATTTGGCAATTTACCTCACATAATTAAAAACACAAGAGCGAAGCACTTTTTGAAAAGCAACAGGGCTTATAAACCAGTAATATTTACAAATAACAGCCCCTTCACACAACACACTGAGAGAAAATATAAACTTTACTAATTATAACCGCTGCATATTGAGAACATGTTAGCTCCTTGAGATAAGAACTTGCTCACGTCTGCGTCTCCAACAGTGCCTTTGCGCAAAGGCAGACAGTCCATTCAGATGAAGGAATTACCAAGCCCTGAGAACTGTAAATGTGACCAGATTCTGATTACCCATCATGGTAGAAAAGAGGCATAAAGGACAGGTGACATCTTCTGGAATTCGCAGGCGTCACTGAAACAAACTCCCTTCTCTAAAAGCCAGCAAATCAACCCTCTTGGCTTCATCTGTTTTCCTCTTATCAACAGCTTTAGTAGAGGACAGAGAGTTGAAAATTAGAAAGATTAAGAAGCTAGAAATTGGCTCTCCACACGAAATTCTTTTTTTTAATTAATTATTTTTATTAACATATAATGTATTATTTGCCCCAGGGGTACAGGTCTATGAACTGTCAGGCTTACACACTTCACAGCACTGACCATATCACATACCCTCCCCAGTGTCCGTAACCCAACCACCCTCTCCCTAACCCCTTACCTCCCAGCAACCCTCAGTTTGTTTTGTGAGATTAAGAGTCTCTTATGGTTTGTCTCCCTCCCGATCCCATCTTGTTTCATTTTTTCTTTCCCTACCCCCCACAACCCTCCACCCTGCCTCTCAAACTCCTTATATCAGGGAGATCATATGATAATTATTTTTCTCTGATAGCCTTATTTCGCTCAGCGTAATACCATCTAGTTCCATTCACGTCGTTGCAAGTGGCAAGATTTCATTTCTTTTGATGGCTGTATAGTATTCCATCACATTTATATACCACATTTTCTTTATCCATTCATCTGTGGATGGACAACTAAGTTCTTTCCATAGTTTGGCTATTGTGGACATTTCTGCTATAAACATTCAGGTGCATGTGCTCCTTCGGATCACTACATTTGTATCTTCGGGGTAAATACCCAGTGGTGCGATTCCTGGGTCATAGGGTAGCTCTATTTTCAATCTTTTGAGGAGCCTCCATACTGTTTTCCAGAGTGGCTACACCAGCTTGCATTCCCACCAACAGTGCAGGAGGGTTCTCCTTTCTCAGCATCTTTTCCAACAACTGTTGTTTCCTGACTTGTTAATTTTAGCCATTCTGACTGGTGTGAGATGGTATCTCACTGTGGTTTTGATATGTATTTCCCTGATGCCGAGTGATGTGGAGCACTTTTTCATGTGTCTGTTGGCCATCTGGATGTCTTCTTTGCAGAAATGTCTGTTCATGTCCTCCGCCCATTTCTTGATTGGATTATTTGTTCTTTGGATGTTGAATTTAAGTTCTTTATATATTTTGGATACTACCCCTTTATCTGATATGTCATTTGCAAATATCTTCTCCCATTCTGTCAGTTGTCTTTTGGTTTTGTTGACTGTTTCCTTGGCTGTCCACACGAAATTCTTAAAGTAGAATCTTTTTTTTTTTTTTTTTTTTTTTTTAAAGTAGAATCTTTAAAGCAAGATTTTGATTTGGTCTCAGCCGGCATTTGCTAGAATTTCATCACCGGGGCTGGTGACTTAGTTTATGCATGAACTTAGGGATGTGTTGGAGAATCGAGGCTAAAGGCAGGGAAGCCCTAGGTGGGCTGGGGTTTGGAGAGTATGGCTGCAGGAAGGTTCTGACTTTTGTTGGCAAGAGTTAGTTCCTTGAGGTCAGAAAACATGTATCCCATCACTGCCTAGCGCCGTGCCTGGTAAGTGAAATTCTTATCTGTAGAACTGATCCTTTCAGGATCAGTGGGAAGGCTTGCCGTTGTCTCCCACCATGGTAGAGAGGAGAGAGGAGAGCAAGAAGGCAGGCACGCTCACTCTCCTCTTCCCATCCTTATCTCATACCCTTCTTCCTAAAACCAGTTACCTCCAAGTGACCGCTCCCCCTACAGCCCTGGAAGGCATGGCTGAGGCACAGGTGGGTGTGTGTGTTTGATCTTCAGCGAGGCCGTGGGCTCTAGTTTCCATCTCCGGTGAGCAAATCGTAGCCATCCCACACCTACCCCCTAAAATGCACTGGAAAATGGTCTGGGCTCAGAACCTACTTGTGGTGTTTTGTTTTCCTTAGGATGCTGTGCTATATTAATTGAATCCTCTGTGGATTTCCAGGACATTCCTATGTAAGGTCTACCTTGGTGGCCTAGTTAGAAACACATACCTAAGCTCCTCAACAAAGTTCCTACTCCATTCCTACTGTGTGCGAGGAACTCAGTAGGCACTTTACTGATGAGAGAAAACGAGTGGCTTCAAGTGTAGCTGGAGAAAAGATCAAGGCCGTAGCCATGCCCCCAGCATCCTGCTGTCTGTTCTGTGGCTTTGCATTCCGAAACCTGTCCTTGTTGGGAAGTTCTTCCTCCCAGGGTACGACACTTGACACAGTGGCAGTTCTTTAAAGAGTTACATCTGACTGTGGTCATGTTCTGCTGTTTCCCCATTTTCCCCCTTTTGTTTTGCTTCTTTGCTCTCATTCAAGTTGTGATTATGTTTCATGATGGCAGGATGGGCTCCCACAAAGCCT